GAATTGATTACAATTTTTAAGACTTCTTGTTTGAAGAAACCAAGATGGCGGCGTAAGTAAACAACTGAACTGCCCCCTCGCACAACAATTTCAAAAATACAACTAAGCCGGGCCGGTTTGGCTCAATGGATAGAGCGTCGGCTTGGGGACTGAAAGGTCCCAGGTTCGATTCCGGTCAAGGGCATGTACCTTGGTTGAGGGCATATCCCCAGTAGGGGGTGTGCAAGAAGCAGCTGATCGATGACTCTCTCTCATCGATGTTTCTAACTCTCTATCTCTCTCCCTTCCTCTCTGTACAAAAATCAATAAAATATATATTAAAAAAAAAGTTTCATTTTAAAAAACAAAAAAACAAAAAACAAAAACAAAAAAACAAAAACAACAACAACAACAAAAAATACAACTAAGCTGAAACTGGTTTGGCTCAGTGGTGGAGTGTCGGTCTGTGGACTGGGAGGTCCCGAGTTCGATTCCGGTCAAGGGCATGTACATTGGTTGCAGGCACATCCCTGGTGGGGGATGTGCAGGAGGCAGCTGGTTGATGTTTCTCTCTCATCGATGTTTCTAGCTCTCTATTTCTCTCCCTTCCTCTCTATAAAAAATCAATAAAATATATTTAAAAAAAATACAACTAAAAGACAAAATGTCTACCACCAGAACCATGGGAAAGCTGGCTAAACGCAAGTCTTATAACTAGAAGGAAAGAGAAAGGAGCACAAAGGCTGAAAAGCTGAGGTTTCACTTACCAGAAGTGAAACCTTGAGGCAACTTGAGGCCAATTTCGTGTGCTCAGGAATGGTGGAAAACACTGACAAAATCAAGCAACCAAAGACAAGGAGAAACCTGTAAAACGACAACAAAAAAGAGAAATCTGATGAGAAGAAAAAAAAAAAAAAAAAAAGACTTCTTGTTTGAAACATTGCTAGCTTTTTAATTTTTTTCCAGATATAAGGAAAATTTCCTCTTAAATTAACTATGACTTATAGCAATTTGGTGAATTATACCTTTATAAATTATACCTTTATAAACATCTTTTTTTCCTACTTGATCTCTTCCAAATTCAGAAACTCTCAGTAAGTATTCTTATTTTCATGGCAATATTGCTTTTTTTGCATAACTTCAACAAGAAACCGTTCTCCTTGTTACACAGCACAAATGGAATCTGGGTATTTTACAAATGCAGTATATTTTGGGGACCTTAAGAAGAGAGGAATTAGCCCAAATCTAAAGGTATTGCAAGCAAGATCTGACGGCAAGTTCTTGGCTTAGCTTTTCTGGCCTCAAGAGGCTATTTAAAGTTCAACCTGTAGGTTACTAATGAAAAATTCCAGAAAAGCATATGTAAAAAAGCCTATATGATAAATTGCTATCTTGTTGTAATTTACAAACAACAGGCCAAGATTACTAGACTAGACTTATTTTGCTAACAAATTAGTCTTAACTTGGCTATCTTTGGTAAAAATGGAAATTTTTTTTTCATTGATTCTAGAGACAGGGGAAGTGAGAAGGAGAGAAACATTGATTGGTTGCCTCCCATACGAATTCCAACTGAAAATGGAACCCAAAACCTGGGTTTGTGCCTTGATGGGGAATTGAACCCAATGCCCTTCCCTCCACGGGATGACGCTCTAACCGTTTGAACAACACCAGCCAGGGCAAAATGGAGATGAGTTTAGAGGTAAAATTATGTTTCAGCAAAACACGTTTGTGGATATTGGATTCTAGTAATGCTCATTGTCTTCTGGGGTTTTTGTTTTCTACCTATAAACTGTACTAGATGCTGAATTCTTTTATTTATTTATTTTTAAATATATATATTTTATTGATTTTTCACAGAGAGGAATTGAGAGGGATAGTTAGAAACGTCAATGAGAGAGAAACATTGACCAGCTGCCTCCTGCACACCCCCCAGTGGGGATGTGCCCGCAACCAATGTACATGTCCTTGACAGGAATCGAACCCGGGACCCTTCAGTCCCCAGGCAGACGCTCTTCCACTGAGCCAAACCAGCTTCGGCTAGATGCTGAATTCTTTTAATGTCTTCCTTTAGTTTGTGATGACTCTGCAAACTAAGGATTTTTTTGCCACCCTTCTAACTTGTAACCATTGAGAACTAAACTATCCTTTCCCCAAACCCATGCAAGCTAAATTGACAACTTGTAATAAATTTCAGAAAAATCACATCTCACATATGGACAATCTTCATGCCTGTTGTAGACAGATCACCGGAAACATGCAAACGGTAGTCAAGGAAAATTTATCAGATCGACTGCCTAATATCACTTCAGGCAAAGGTCAAAGGTCATTCCAGACAGATATCTAGAAACCTTGACTGGCTGCTTTGAGAGCTCAGAGATGGGATTATAGTCTGCTCTCAGCGTTAACCATTGTTTTTCTTTTGTTTACACAGATATGCTTCTTACTAAATTCTTTTTTTAAAATAAGTATATTTTATTGATTTTTTACAGAGAGGAAGGGAGAGAGATAGAGAGCTAGAAATGTCGATGAGAGAGAAACACCGATCAGCTGCCTCTTGCACACCCCCCACCAGGGATGTGGTGCCCGCAACCAATGTACATGCCCTTCACCAGAATCGAACCGGGGACCTTTCAGTCCGCAGACCGACGCTCTATCCACTGAGCCAAACCGGCTTCGGCATTACTAAATTCTTAATTGCTTGTACCCTAGGCCTCACTTTGGGAGCCCACCTGCATCACTATCTCCTGACATGAGACACAACTGTTCAACTGAACTGACCTATTCTCAAGACTGAGACTGGTTCGGGGAGATAAGGAATAATCTATTAAACCCTACTTCTGGAATGTAAAATTTCTCGGAAAGCTTCAAAGGCGGCTTGAAGTCTGTCAGAACAGGCCTCTCCCAGATAGGCCACTGTGGCATGTGAATTATTTCGAGCTGAAAGCAATAGAGACCCCGCGGGCTCAGGACAAACGTTTACCCCCATCCCTTAAAGAATTTAAATTGGACATCTGCCTATACTAAGAGTTATCACCAGATTTAACTCTTTACAACCTACCTGTAGGGTAGGCAAACATCTAATTACTCAGCATCTGCTCTTCTTACTGTCCTGCAAATGACCCTCTTTGCGACCTTCTTTTCCCTTTGAAGCCCCATGGCATCTCACTTCATCCAAACTCAGAATATCTCATAGAGCTTATTTTAACTTTCTGTCTCTGAACCTTTCGTGTGTGTGTGTGTGTGTGTGTCTGATTCTTTCATGTATGTGAAGTTTCTATACTTCCACATATCATTACATTTATTTTCTCTTGTTAATCTGTCTCATGTTAATTTAATTATCAGACCAGCTGAAATAAAGTTTCTTTCTCTGCCCCCAGCCTCAGAGCCTAGACACTAACTCCCTTTTACACAGAAGCAGAAAGTATTTTTGTGCCCTTAAATGCCAACTAACCTTCCAGAAATGCCACCACCATGTAGAGGGATGATTGTATTTGGTTTTACAAAACATAACCGAAATTTGTTCAGTTCTAGAAAATTCCATCACCCGTAGATACTGCTACCATGGTAGCTTGTCCATGCCTGATGATTTTATCACTGGGTCCCAATATTCTGAAAACCTCAGAATGTTTTTTTCCTGTATTTGGGGCCCAAACATGTACATACGGGGCCTATTATATAATTACAATTTATTTTATGTCACCTTCATTTTACAATTAAGCGATGCATTGCTTATAAATATTATGCGTGTGGGTGGGTTAAATTGTCTATGAATCCTATTTCTCCGCAGAGGCGAGCTGTTTGCAACATAGGCCCTTTGGGTCTGGCGCAGGCTGCCCCGCGGAGCGGTCCTCCGCGCGCCAGGGGTCGCTGTGGCGCCGCGCCGCCGCGCCGGGTCTCTCTCGCGTGGCCGCCCCGCCTCGGGCCCCCGGGCCGAGTGGGCGGGCACGACTGCGCCCAGGTCGCGAGGCGCCCTTCGACCAGCAGCGCCCGGGGCGGGTATAAATGGAGCGGTGGCTCCCCCCAGCCGCCTCTCTCCGCCCCGGGTCGCCGCAGCCTCTCCCGCTTTCGGGCTCAGTAGCCTGAAGAAAAAAAAAAAAAAAAGAAAAAGAAAAGAGAAAAAGATTAAAAAAAAAACAAACAAAAAACTCGAAAACGCTCTAAAACCTGAAAAGAAAAAAAAAAAGAAAAATAGAGAAAGAAAAAGCGAATCCTCCTCGGAGAACCCGCGGGGAAGTCACTCTTGCACGCTCCCGGCCTGCCCGCCGCCGCCGCCGCCGCCGCCGCCGTCGCCGCCGCCGCACCCGCACCCGGGCGTCCGTCCGTCCCTGCCTGTCGGTCCGGTGGTGAGCCGCCCGCGTCCACGCGCCTCCGCGCCGCCGCCGCCCGCGCCGCCGCCGCCGCCCGCGCCCGCCGCGTGGCAGCCCCGCGCCCCCGCCCCCCGCGCCGCGCCGTCCGCCCCGCGCACCACGTGTCCGCGCTGCCCTTCGCGGCCCGGCGTGAAGGCGGCTGCGCGCTCGGCCCCCCAGGCTTGCCGCGCCGCCGACACCGACAAATATTTTGCATCCCTCGTCCCCGGCTGCTGCTGTAATCCTAAACCGCCCGCAGCCCGAGGCCTATATTTAACGGGAAACGCGCACCCCGGAGGCCGCGTGGGCACCGTTTTGCCTGGCTCTCCCGAGCATTTTTTTTTTTTTTTTGTCATTTGTGGAGGGAAGCCCCCCGTTTTCATAACATTTATTTTTGGAAATTTCTGGAGCTGAACGTTGCCACCTCCCCGCGGGAGGGCCATATTGTTTTTTTTTTGGAGAGCCTTTTGTCTGCGGTCGGCCCCGCAGTCTCGGAGCGAGCCGCCCCCGACCCGCTCGCCGCCTCCCGCCGCTCGCTCAGCCTCCGCCGGCGCTGCCACCTGTGAGCGGAGCCGCGGCGCGGGCCCCGCTGCTCCGGGAAGAACCCCTTTCATTGTCTCGTGCGCTCCTTCGGAAGAAGCCCTGGCGGGGCTCGGGGTCGTGGGGGCTGGGGAGATGAACGCTGCGGCCAGCAGCTACCCCATGGCCTCCCTGTACGTGGGTGACCTGCACTCGGACGTCACCGAGGCCATGCTGTATGAAAAGTTCAGCCCTGCGGGGCCTGTGCTGTCCATCCGGGTGTGCCGGGATATGATCACCCGCCGCTCCCTGGGCTATGCCTACGTCAACTTCCAGCAGCCGGCCGACGGTGAGTGGAAGCTGCCCACGAATTTTCGGGATCCGGGGTGGGGGTGGGGGTGGGTGGGGGTAGGGGTAGGGTGGGGGTGGGGGCTGGGAGCCATCCGCCAGCCAGGTCCCTGTTACCCGCATTGGAGGGGCACCACCACCGCAGCCCGTTGCCACAGAAAGCCATGTGGGGAACCAGGATGCAGGGGTTGAACCGTGGGATCCTGGCGTCAGAGGACCAGAGTTTCAGTCTGGTTCCCCACCACTTGCTCACTGGGTGACCTTGGGCTCATCAGTGGGGTGGCGGTGGGGTTGGAACCCAAGGAGACCATAAAATGGTTTCAGAAAGGAGTCTCCGTGTCATCCCGCGGTGTGTGTGGTGTGTGTGTGTGTGTGTGTGTGTGTGTGTGGTTCGGTGGAGCTGTGGTCTCTATTCGAGGCCCTTGGTGAGCGATCGTGGCCAGGTAACCCTCGTAGGCCTGCCAGAAAGCACGATTGAAATACAATTCTTGCGGAAATTGTAGATTGCAACACTGCTGCCCCTTCCCCTGCCTTCACCCTGGACTAAGAATCTGTTTGATTTTTTTTTTTTTTTTTTGTGCAGATAAGCATCTTTCAAGGCAGGTAGGAAGCAGGGGGATCATTCTATGCGTTAAATTTGAGCAGGCGCTTGAGTTAGCACCGCCAGAGCTTCGTGTGCCAGGCCAGCACCCTGATCTGGGTGTTTGCAGCTGTTGGGGGAAGGGGGGGAAGGGGGGAGGGGAGTGCTCTCTGGATGAGGCCTGGTCTGTGGAGAATGGATCTCCATGTAATCTGGGAAAGCACAGCCACAGAAATCGCTGGCTTGATGGGAATTACCATTTCACCTGAGAACGGCGCTGTACACTTGTCAAAACCCTTGACTTCCTCCCATCTGAAGGCTGTAGGGCTCCTGAGAAGGAAAAGACTGCAGAAGGTTTGGAGGCCAGGCTGGGCCTGCCAGTGCAGGGCTCTGTGAACCCACATTGGGCCTTAGCTTGGAGCAGTGGAGAGGAAAGGTATGCCGCGGGCGTGGTGGCAGTGGCGAGGCCCGAGGAAACCTAATCAGGGGCTGCACATGACTCCAGCTTAAAAAGGAACAACTGCAGAGATCATTACTGGGAGAAACAAGCCATTCTGTGGCAAAGGATCTCCGGGTCCTTATTGTCCCTCCTCTGTTTGCTGTCTGTGAAGCACAGGGAAGGCCACTTGCCCAGGATGCAGCTGAGACCAGAGGATAGGACGCGTTTGGATACACAAGGCACTTGCTCCCATCAATTCAGTGTGCTCTGAGCTGACGTGGTCTGGCCACAGGCACAAAGAAGGTAGCTGAGTGTGGCCTTTTTAGGTGGGAGTAGTGGGTGTGTTGGCAGTTGCCTGCCTTCTTGACGCTTCTGAACAGAAGTCCTGTCACTTATAGTAGCAGAAGCCATTGGTCAGTGTTGTCTGCCAACACATAGCTCTGCGGGCCCTCTCCCTGCTATAAATAAGTGCAGCCCGATTTGTCAGGCTAAGCTGACTTGCTTTCTGCAGCACTGGCTGGAAATAGAAGTTGTGTTGAAATGGGTTCCTTCTCTGCTAATTAGTGAAACAACACAAATTGGGGGGGTCCCAGGCTTTCTATCTCTGCTGGTCATCACAAGCAAGCTCCACTGTGCCTGGACCTTTCCTGATTTGGGTTTGCCCCATCCCCTGCCTCCTGACCTCCTCCCCTCCCACTCTGAGGAGAGGCACCTGAAGATGGAAAAGGTGGTTGCAAATGAGTGAAAAGGAGATCCTTCTTGGCTGGCTGAGGGAATTTTGTTCCCTCTTTAAGTGAGGCAGTGCCTTGAGGCAGAAAACCTCCCCCTCCCCCCATTCCTTCATGGAGGACATTCCTGGGTAATATTATCATTGCATAAATCAGGGTAAATGGCCACCAGCCCTGGGTCCTTGTTACTACAGAGTGAAGAGAATTACTCCTGACTGCATGTGATGATACATTTTAGCTTCTGGTTCTTTAAATGGTCTCCACAGTGCATACATGGATTTGGTTGGGAAGCTAAGGAACCAAGGCTTTGGGTGGAGAATTTGTTTGGACACCAAGGGATTTGAAGGCCTGGAAATCACCAGGTGCAGGGCCTACGTGCACTGTCTGCTTAGCAGTAAGATGCTGCAGTTTTATCTTTCTTGTCTCGTAATACAAAGGACATTTCTATGTGTGACTATGAATATTTATCTTTTTGGTGATTGAGGCTTTTTATCTGAATCAATTTCTATTCAGAAACTGAAAATATAAGAAATTGGGCTGAAACCAGGGATAGCACATTTCAGCCCCAATCACTTGCTCACAGTTTTGTTAATTCGATATTCTGTACTAGCTTCATGTGTATAATAGCATAATGGTTAAACAATGGTGTTTCTTTCTTTTAAAAAAATAATATTTTTATTGATTTCAGAGAGGAAAGGGGAGAGAGAGAGAGAGAGAGAGAGAGAGAGAGAGAGAGAGAGAAAGAAACATTAATAATGAGAATCATTGATCAGCTGCCTCCTGCATGCCTCATACTGGGGGATCAAGCCCATAACCCAGGCATGTGTGCTGGCCCTGGAATTGAATCTATGACCTCCTGGTTCATATGACCTCCTGCTTCATAGGTTGATTATCAACCACTGAGCCACGTGGGCCGCCCAGGTGGGTGTTAGTTTCTTAATCATAGTTAGCTGCATCATTTAACCACCCTGAATGTACGCTTGTTAATTTTATAAAATGGGTAATTTCATTTGTCCTACCTGTCAAGGTGAGTGATAGGCTGCAATGTCTTTTATACGTGATAAAAAAGCTTAATCAAATAGGAGGTACAGTAGTCCCTCCTTATTTCCTGTTTTGCTTTCTACATTTTCAGTTACCTGTGGTCAACCGTGGTCCAGAAATATTTTTTTAAAATATATTTTATTAATTTTTTACAGAGAGGAAGAGAGAGGGATAGAGTTGGAAACATCGATGAGAGAGAATCATTGATCAGCTGCCTCTTGCACACCCCCTACTGGGGATGTGCCCGCAACCAAGGTACATGCCCTTGTCCGGAATTGAACCTGGGACCCTTCAGTCTGCAGGCCGACGCTCTATCCACTGAGCCAAACCAGTCCCGGCTGGTCCAGAAATATTAAATGGAAAATTTCAGCAATAAACAATTTATAAGTTTTAAATTGCACGCCATTCCTAGGAGCGTGATGAGATCTCCCGCCATCCTGCCCAGGACAAGTTATCCTATGTTCATGCTCTGTAAACTGTCCACCAGTTGGTCAAGTCACTTAGTAGCTGTCTCATTTATCAGATCGGTGGCAGTAATGCAGTGCTTGTGCTCCAGTAACCCTTATTTTACTTGATAATGGCCCCAAAGCACAAGAGTAGTGATGCAGGCAATTCAGATATACCAAAGAAAAATTGTGAAGTGCTTCCTTTAAGTGAAAAGTTGAGTATAGTACAATAAGATATTTTGAGACAGAGAGACCACCTTCTTTATAACTCTCATTACAATGTATTGTGAAAATTGTTTCATTTTATTACTCTTACTGTGCCTAATTTATAAATTAAATTTTGCCATAGGTATGTATGTACAGGAAAAAAAACAAACATAAGGTTTGGTGCCATCCATGGTTTCTGGCGTCCACTGGGGGGGTGTCTTGGAACAAATCCCCCACTACTATGTTATCGTTTGATTCTGGTGACATAAGGCCATTTAGATGATCTTGCCTAACTCCCTTACCCAATACCCAGGATGCAGACCTAGAGGGGTTGAGACTTCAGCCATGAAGTAGATTACTTGGCTAGTACTTAATTTACCCTCAGTAGCAACACAGGCTAGAGGCATTTGATGCCCTTTCATTTTATTTTATTTTATTTATTTATTTTAAATCTATTTTTTGATTTTTTTTTTTTACAGAGAGGAAGGGACAGGGATAGAGAGCTAGAAACATCGATGTTTCTCTATCAGCTGCCTCCTGCATAGTTCCCACCAGGGATTTGCCCGCAACCAAGGTACATGCCCTTGACCAGAATCGTACCCGGGACCTTCCAGTCTGCAGGCCGATGCTCTATCCACTGGGCCAAACCGGTTCTGGCTGCCCTTTCATTTTAAAAGTTGCCTTTTATCAGAGTTACCTTAAAAAGTCCTGGGGTCACCTGTTCCTGGGATGGTGGCAGTTAACCTACGTGAGTTTTATATCCTAGACTGAAATGTGTTTCTCTTGCAGCTGAGCGGGCCTTGGATACTATGAACTTTGATGTGATTAAGGGAAAGCCAATCCGCATCATGTGGTCTCAGAGGGATCCCTCTTTGAGAAAATCTGGTGTGGGAAACGTCTTCATCAAGAACTTGGACAAATCTATAGATAACAAGGCACTTTATGATACTTTTTCTGCGTTTGGAAACATTCTGTCCTGCAAGGTAAACGCGGATTAAATTGAAGCAGAATAACTGTATTCTGAAAACAAGATGAATACTAAATGGGAAACTGCCTGGGTTTTGGGTGCCAGTGCATGTAAATTTTCAAAATTCTGGAAATGGCTCTTAGGCCTAAAAGTTCCCTATAGATAATCTCATGCCACACAACCTAGCATAACTAGCAGGTGCTTTTGTGTCTTTGTTCTACCCTCTGCCTGAAATATCCTTCCTGTCTTCTAACTTTGGAAAGCATGAAAAGGTTTCTGTTGGGGGCGGGAACCCACAGCAGTGCCTGTGGTTTTCAGGAAGCTGTGTGTAGTCATTTTAGAAGCATAAACTCACCTTCGTTTTCTCTGCACCTGTTTATGTGGAGAATTGCTAACAACTTGTGTGGTGGTTGTTTACATGTCTAACCCCACACCAAACTGAAATTCTGTTACGGGCTTAAAAAATGGTTTGTCTTTCTGTAGCACTGAGTTTTACACCCAGATCTCAGCGTTTTTAATGAAGGAAACATTTGGATAGAAGCGGCTTGATATAGTGGCTACCTTTTGTAAATGGCACATTACTGAGTACCTGATGCTGTGGTGAGGGTTAGAAAAACCTTAATTGCTGTAGTCTCCTGCAGTTTGCCCCGGGTGGGCTAAAAGCCTCAGACATGGGAGACCCTGAGTAAGAGACCATATGGTTCTTGAGTCTCAGGAGCTGTCCAGTGGCATTAACGTGGCCTGCCTTGTCTTTGACAGGTGGTGTGTGACGAGAACGGCTCTAAGGGTTATGCCTTCGTTCACTTCGAGACCCAAGAGGCTGCAGACAAGGCCATCGAGAAGATGAACGGCATGCTCCTCAATGACCGCAAAGTGTGAGTGTCCCAGTCTGGAGCAACAGCCATCGCATGAGCCAGCCATGGCCCCACCTCGGTATTAACTGACACACACAAGGCGGCTCCTGGTTCTCTCGGCCCAAGTGTGGCCTGCTCCTAACTCTCCACTCCTGGGCTGGTGAGTCTTCCTGCCGAGCCATGGCAGCCCTTGTGACTCGCCAAAGGTGGGCTTCCTGCCCAAAAGCCATGGCCTGCCGTCTCTCCTTTAAAAGTACATGTCTGGGTTTTATGATCATTGGCACCTGGGCTGGCTGGAAGACAGCTCTAAGCCCACTCTGAGCAGGGGTCTTGGCCAGTGGCAGAGTGGAGAGGGCCCTGGGCTTACCAGGAGCCATGTGACCTTGGTCTGTCCATGGGGTCACTTGCCAAATTGTCCCTAGATCTCCACTTGGCTAATTTATGACTCAGTAGCCTTTTAACGCAGTCTGGCTCCACAGTAATCCTTAATTTGGTTACAATAAAAAAAGTCTCATCCCATCTCAGAAGACACTATAATAGACCTTGTTGCTTTGGTGTGGTTTATTGCAGAATGGAGATCTTAGCTAAACCATCAGGGAGAGGAGAGTAGAGAAAAGGAGAGGAGAAGAGACAATAAGTCTTGGCTCAAAAAAATCATTTCTGTTCTTTGCATTGTTGAGCAGACCAGGGGATGGGTTACATTGATAATGTGTATGTGCAAAGATAACACTAGAGGGAAATCTAAAGATATTCAATGTATGGATATATTCCTATTAAGTATAAACAATTAGACGAATAAAGTGAAAAATTAAAGGTAGCTCACTCCAGCAATTTCACTCCTCAGATTAACCACTGTTAACAGTTTGGTTTGTGTCCTTCCAGACCTTTTCTATGCATTTACATAGATGCACAGAAATGGATGTTTAAAAACATGGTCATCAGGTTTCTCCACGAAGGCAGTGTGATGTGGTAGGAGGAGCCTGGTGTGAACCGGGAGCCCTGGGGCTGGTCCCTCCAGGACAGTCCTGCTTCTTTTTCTTTCAATGGGGAGCTGGGCATTTCTGAGCTTGCTTTCTTGGTGGTTGGACTGGGACTTGTGTTTTAACCTCTCCTGTCAGCCTTTAACCTGCATTCCTTTGGGTCCCTGGAAATCATGGTTTGTTCCTCTGGATGATCACTTGTTTTTCATGGGTTCCTTTTAGGTTTGTGGGCAGATTCAAGTCTCGGAAAGAGCGGGAAGCCGAGCTTGGGGCCAAAGCCAAGGAATTCACTAATGTGTATATCAAAAACTTTGGGGAAGAGGTGGATGATGAGAGTCTGAAAGAGCTGTTCAGCCAGTTTGGTGAGTCAGGTCCTCTGGCCCATGTGCCCTCTTTCATAGTCCACCAGACCTGGACTTCATCTGTTTTCAATGAAAAGAAGAGGGCACCTAGACCCAGAAGTAAAATACCTTGCATGACAAAAGGTCACAGGGTAGCTAAGAATAGATTCCAGGCCTCAGCTCTTAGCTTTACCTCGTCCAAGCTCCAAGGCCATCTCGGCAGCTTGGTCAGAATTAGAAGGCCAGGCACATTGTCTCTTAGTAGTCCATCTGGGTTCAGCAAGAGGTTGCTTCAAGTGGGTTCCTTGAACTGTGGTACAGATGCAACTATGGAACAGATGGTGTTACTAATAGTTCTGTCCTTTGGTAATAGGTAAGACCTTAAGTGTCAAGGTGATGAGAGATCCCACTGGGAAATCCAAAGGCTTTGGCTTTGTGAGTTACGAAAAACACGAGGATGCCAATAAGGTGAGAGTACCACCAGGGTGGGGAGAATGTTATAGGAAGTGGCTCCAGAGTTCGGCTAGGGCCTTGGTAGCACAGAGCTGGAATTATCTCAGTGTCTGGTAGTGAGGCACAGTCACCACAGTCACTGGTATGGCCTTCTTAAGGAGTTTTACATGTTACTGTATCAGTTGACTGTTTTGAAAGCAGTTGGCACATACCTGTCACCTTAGCTCTTCGACCTTGCAGGTTGAAAATAGGACAGGTGTTTGTTCCCATTCATAGACAAGGGAACTATGGGCCAGAGAGTTTGTGATTTGATAATAGAACAACAGCTACCTGTGGGCGAAGCACTGTGCTAGGCCCTCAACATGTATCATTTAGTACCCACAAAAGAACTGAATCTAATGACAGCCAGATGATCAAGCCAGGCTGGTGTCTGCTACGCTTATATATATACATCTGCTATTTCCCCCCTATGTTATCTGGGCCAATAACCCATCTAAATATTAACCCTGTGTTATTGATGAGGTGGTCAGAATTTGCATAGCTGACTTCAGAGACAGAGTAAAATTAGTTTTTAGCCCTAAAGGAAGATTTCTGGTGGGTCTTACACATCTCCAGAGCAAGACCCCTGCCTCTGCATCCTTATTTATTTATTTATTTATTTATTTATTTATTTATACAAATTCACATTTTATTTACATCGAAATAAACTGTACAAAATTGACTTTCTTCACCAAAAATAACAGCAATATTTTCTGTAATATTCCTAGGTAAACTACAGAACACATTTTTGTAGGTTGTCTAGGTTTTGCTTATAAATCAAGACGAGGCAGTAGATACAATCACGGAAAAAGACAGAATAAAACAGACCAATCTGTTGTCAGTATCCGTGGCTGCATCCTGTTTTAAAGGTGCACATTTATTTTTTCTTCTTTAGGCTGTGGAAGAGATGAATGGAAAAGAAATCAGTGGGAAAGTCATTTTTGTAGGCCGTGCACAGAAGAAAGTGGAACGGCAGGCCGAGTTAAAACGGAAATTTGAACAGCTCAAACAGGAGAGAATTAGTCGATACCAGGTGAGAGGTGGTCTTGGCACAGCTTCCCAACAAGGAATTTACTATGTGTGTTGGCAGAGCACCCAGATATTTAGCAGGCTTTCTCGGGGACTTGGAGCCTGCTCACCATCCTCAGGCTTAAAAGGATATGCCTACCAGATACAGCAGTAATTCTAGAACAGAGACCAAATAGATTAATTTATTCCTTTAGGGACTCTGCTCCAGGAGCCTCAGTCTTAGTTATGTGGGTTCCTTTTATTTAAATGATACGCATTTGTTTGGAATGGTGGCAAGGGAGAGCTCTGCTGGGATGAGTGGTCAGCCAGAGCAGCTGTGAGGAGATGATAATAGCATGTGAGTACATGGTGCTCCTATCAGAGTCTTAGAGCAGCAGTGTCTCAACTTTGAGCCTGCATCCAGTCTCCTGCAGGGCTGGTAAAACACGATTGCTGCCCCCAGCTGGTGTAGCTGGGTTGGGCGGTGCCCCATTCACTGAGAGGCTGCCACTTGATTCCCAGTCGGCACAAGCTCGGGTTGTGGCCTCAATCCCTGCTAGGGGGTGTGCAAGAGGCAGCTTATCGATGTTTCTCTCTGCTTCTCCCTTCCTCTCTAAAAATCAGTAAAAACAAACACACATGGGTTGCTGGGCCCCCGAGTTCATTAGGTTTGGATTCTGGCCTGAGATTTTACATTCCAAACAAGAACCCAGAGATGCTGATGCTGCTGGTCTGAGGTCCACACTTTGAGAACCCACTGTCTATGGAATATATGTGGGGGGGGCGAGAGGGAGCGAGGGGGGGGTAAAGAAAAAGAGAGAAAAAAAAGACTAATAGTGATTCTTCTGCTGTAGGGGGTGAACCTCTACATTAAGAACTTGGATGACACTATTGATGATGAGAAGTTAAGGAAAGAATTTTCTCCTTTCGGATCCATCACCAGTGCTAAGGTATTTTAAACTGAGATTCTCGGATTGAAAGCAGAAGCTGTAATCATTTAGCGGTTTATTGGCATTGGTTTCATTGATGGAATAGTATCTAAATTGTGTTCATTTCTCAGAGTAGCTACCACATTAATCTAACAAATTCCTCCTGGCATTCAATTAGCCATCTGAGTGTATGCTCTGGAGAATGACAATTCATTAGGTTATTACTGCGCTGTCTTGCCTCCCAAGTCCTGGGTATGGTGATGAATATGAGTCCCTTACTGCCAACTCCCCAGAGCACCTGAATCTTTCCCATTCTTTGCTGCTTCGTGCTAGTGTGGGGACAGATGGTGCCACAGAAAAGCAGAGGAAATCCAGACGGGTTGTTTTTCATTTGTCTTGCGGCCTGTCTCTACAGCTCTGCCACATTTTCTCCCTGAACGAAGGTATTGTGAGGATTTTAGAGCTGGGGTGAGAATTTCCATCCTGGTCTGAGAAAGAAGGGAAGATGAGTAGGAAGTTTGTTTTTCCATGCTTCGAAATTTGCCTCGCTTGATTTTTCTTTGATAATCAATCAACTGAGTTAGCAGGGTATGTGAACTCCATTTTAAAATCAAGGAATCTGGTTCCTTGAGCAAGAGAATGCTAGTTATATCAGGATGGTGTGCTGTGGTTTTGGCATATTGGGACTGTGACAGGGTCTGAAAGTTCTGGGTCATAGCCTGTTGCAGACTCTAGTCCTGCTCAGCAGCGGTGCAGCAGGTGTCACCAAGTCCTCTAGGTCATGAGAAAGGAGGCCAGCTGAGCCTGTGAAGACTAAGGTCCTGGCACTTACCTTAAGTCACTCACAACCTGGGAGTGTCATCAGTTATAGCAGGCAGGTGGCCAGAGACTGCTGTGCGGTTTCTCTAGTTCCTCGTCCCTTCCGTCTTATCACCCTCTTGACTGCCTATCAGTGTAAGGAATGCTAGTCTCCTTGCTAATAAGCACAGTAGTCCAGTTGGCATTGACAAGAAGAGAGCAAAAGAACCATGTCTTGAAGTTTCATAGGCACCATTTTCATGATCAAGGTGTCTTGATCTTAGCTTGTTGGCCCGTTTCATAGGTATGGAGTTGTTGGGTTAACACACATGTCCTTTACTGCCATGTCCTTCCCTTCAGGAGGCTCTCCAGGCACACACACATTCATATTGCTACCAGAACTTGTGAACAGACAGGCCAGGGGAAGTAATGAGGAACCTTTTCAGGTGGAAAAAGACTGCCTGGCCGAAGCTGGTTTGGCTCAGTGGTAGAGCGTCGGTCTGCGGACTGAAAGGTCCCAGGTTCGATTCCGGTCAAGGGCATGTACATTGCTTGCGGGCACATCCCCGGTAGGGGGTTTGCAAGAGGCAGCTGGTCGATGTTTCTCTCTCATCGATGTTTCTAGCTCTCTATATCTCTCTCCCTTCCTCTCTGTAAAAAATCAATAAAATATATATTTAAAAAAAAAAAAAAAAAAGACTGCCTGAACCAGTGGGCATGTGGCTTTGTAGCTATTTGCCTCATGGACATTGAGGCTCAGAGAAGTGTTTTGTTAACGTTGTACAGCTCAGAAGTTGCAGAGCCAGGACTAGAATCCAACTGTCTTCCAACTGGTCATTTTTCTGCTGTTACTCCCATTGAATAGCAGTCATTGGTTTTAATTCCTATATATAGTATTTACAAAGCAGATCCTGACCATGCTAACAGCTGATTAAAATTTTGTTCACCAAAGTCTTAGGCAGATGAATTCTACAATTATATTGCTTGACATTAACTCCAAATCTCTTGTGAGTACCTAGAGATCGCTGTGCCCCAGGATGTCAGGAAACATCTTTCAGTTCCAGGTTTTTAAACCATTAGCCATTTCATAGTGTTTGGGAACTTTAGAACCTAACCAAGAAAATGCCTAAGTCCTGAGAAGTTGTGACTCAATTGGTCTGGAACAGGGTGAACAACCCTTCTCCTAGACCTGATTTCTCTTTCAACAGAACCTAGGTTTTCTGATTCTTAATAGCTGCTTGGACTTAAGAACACCTTTTTTTTCTAAAGCTGGTCTCCTTTTTGTAGGTAATGCTGGAAGATGGGAGAAGCAAAGGGTTTGGCTTTGTCTGCTTCTCATCTCCTGAAGAGGCTACCAAAGCAGTCACTGAGATGAATGGACGCATCGTGGGCTCCAAGCCACTGTATGTCGCCCTGGCCCAGAGGAAGGAAGAGCGAAAGGCTCACCTGACCAACCAGTATATGCAGCGGGTGGCTGGAATGAGAGCACTCCCTGCCAATGCCATCTTAAATCAGTTCCAGCCTGCAGCTGGTGGCTACTTTGTGCCAGCAGTTCCACAGGTGAGTCTGCTACACATTCATGGCTCCGGAACCTGCACACCGATGGTGGCTCCTGCAATGGTCAGGGATATCAGAGTTCTAGAATGATAGGGAAGGGTCTTTCAAATAAAATGAAGATTTCAAATAAAATGAAGATTTATCCATGGTCGTTGTACAGTGGCAGGGATAAAATAAAATACTCTCCATTAGCTGACCTTTTGAGTGGAGAGAGCGCCTCTTCTTGAATTAGCCAAGGCGTGGTAGTGAGATCAGATGCTTCGCTAGTGTGGATTCAAGTCCTTGAAATAAAACGGCTTGGGTGCTCTCTCTTACAGGCTCAGGGAAGGCCTCCCTATTATACACCTAACCAGTTAGCACAAATGAGACCTAATCCACGCTGGCAGCAAGGTGGGAGACCTCAAGGTAGGTGGCGGGAAACGGATTGATTACCTAGGATATTCCTCCTGGTCTCCCCTGCCTCTCCTTCTTGCCCCACCTCTGAGATGCAACCTAAGTTCTGGTCCACATCATTTGTTCCTAATGTGCAACTTTTGTCTTTTCACCAGGCTTCCAAGGAATGCCAAGTGCTATACGCCAGTCTGGGCCTCGTCCAACTCTTCGCCATCTGGCTCCAACTGGTAATGCTCCGGCCTCTCGTGGCCTCCCTACTACTGCTCAGAGAGTCGGTGAGCAAACTGGCCTTGAGATGCATGGCCTGGGGAGGAGGGATCATGATGACTAGGCTCTGCCCAGGGTTGGGTCAGTTTGTTGGCTCATCTTTGAGTCCTGGTTCTGGAATCTTAGCTGTGTGCTTAGGTAGGTCAAAAGAGCAGAGAAACAATTCATTCTATAGTGCTGGTTACTTTTAAGGGTCTTTGCTTATTGGTGAGCCATGTGAACAAGATTAGTGGTAGAAGTTGGTTAGCTGAATGACTAGAGGTAGCCCGTTCTTCTGGGTGGAGTTGGGAGAGTTAAGGAAAGAAACGCTTTTTTACAAAGTATGTCATGTATTCCAAGAGGTGTAAAGAGTTGTATGTTATCTGTTGGCTGCTCCTTGAGGGTAGCAGTAGAGGCCCCATGTGTGATGTGTTTGAACATACTTTGGAATTTCTCCTTCTGTGGGGCGTGGCCAGTTGGACATCTGCCAACACTGATGTGCATTTGCTGGTCTGTTGTAGGGTCTGAGTGCCCGGACCGCTTGGCTATGGACTTTGGTGGGGCTGGTGCCGCCCAGCAAGGGCTGACTGACAGCTGCCAGTCTGGAGGTGGTATTGGATGCACACAGAATGGGGAAAGATGGGATTTGACGGGTCTTTGCCCAGGCTGATGGGCTTTAATTTTACTTGTTCTTTTCCTAAGGTGTTCCCACAGCTGTGCAGAACTTAGCACCTCGTGCTGCTGTGGCTACTGCTGCTCCTCGGGCTGTTGCACCTTACAAGTATGCCTCCAGTGTCCGCAGCCCTCACCCTGCCATACCACCTCTGCAGGTGGGTCCACCAAACACAGCTAAAGGATTTCCCCCATTCCCGTGTGATTTAAAAGATGCCTTGCTTTGATTCTTTAAATAGGTGTTAAATGCCTGCTCTGTGTCAGGATGCTGTGTCTTATGTGGTGACACTGCCCTTGAGGGGCCCTCTAGAGGGCCAGAGGGGGCTTAAAGGTGTTCTTCCTGAAACAGTTCGCTTGGATATGCCCCAGAGGAGACTGCTAGTGCTTCCTGCTTTCCTTTTTATAACAATGTGTGTTCATTCAGCTCATTGAGCTTCCATTTCTCTTTCACCTCCAATGGCTTAGTTGGATCCTTAGCTGCTCTGTAAGGTAATCAGTAAATCAAGGCAGGAAAGAACTTCATGTCACAGAATTCAGCCTCAGAGGAGTTGAGTTGAGGTGGGCAGTTGGACCCAGATATTAGGTTGTCTAAGCTGGAACTTGCTATCTCTGGAGCTGTGCCACCCAGGCAAGCCACGCCGCAACTGGTTTGTTGAAAAGCCCAGTAGCACTTTGCTTGGAGGAGACACACCAGCCTTGGAGACACACCAGGAGCTGCTTCCTCCTGCTCCATGCCCTTGAAGTTGAATACTCCCCAGAACTTGATGCTATGTGAAACATTTTTTGCCTACAAGGCCCTACTTTTAGAGCTCTAACTGGCATTGACCTTGCATGTTGATAGTCTTCAAGTATTTGATACAATAAAAACATTTGGTACAATAAAGGTTATGTGGGATATAATTATAAATGGTTTGATATGCATACCCTTTGACCTGGTCCTTACGAGGAATTCACTCTAAAGGAAAAAACTAATTTTTAGAAAAAGGCTATACATACACATGTTCACTGTACCTTATTTATTAACAAGGTTTTGAATTCTTGGGTAAACAGCCTTAAATAAATCAAAATCATTTGATAGATGGTTGCCAAGCATTATAGGTTGTTTTATTTCCCTTCCAACAGCATGCTGTTCTTAGGGTAGTTGGCTGTGTGTCTGTGCCCACACCACGATTCCTCACCTCACACTCTGTACCCCTCAAGACTGCAGTTAGTTCCTTGACAGCAAAGACAACTACTCCACCTCCTTTTTCACATAGTCGACTTTCAGGTGTTGAACGGTCACGCTCTTGATCACCCTCCAGTGTCTTTCCTTGGTGCTAACCCGCTGCCTCTCCTGGTTCCCAGGCACCCCAGCCTGCGGTCCATGTGCAGGGGCAGGAGCCCCTGACCGCCTCCATGCTGGCCGCAGCACCCCCCCAGGAACAGAAGCAGATGCTGGGTACGTGCTTGCAGAGGAGGGGGCCAGAGCCTGGTACTGACCTGGACACCAGTGTCCATTCTTTCCTGGGATTCAACCTGGTTTTTACTTGAGTATCTTCCCATAGGCGAACGTTTGTTCCCTCTCATCCAAACCATGCATTCGAACCTGGCTGGAAAGATTACGGGAATGCTTCTAGAGATCGACAACTCTGAGCTGCTGCACATGCTGGAGTCCCCCGAGTCTCTCCGCTCCAAGGTGAGCATGGTGGTCTCAGCTGCGGATGATGACCGGTGGCCTTGCACCCCCACATGTGGCAGAGAGAAGGGGCCGCTGTGGTGTGGGTATTTGAAAAAGCAGCATCAGGAGAAGCCACCACTGGACCTGGGCATCAGGGAGGAGTGGAGGGGCTCTGCTTAGATGTCACTGACCACCTGGAGATCTCTCACAGGTGGATGAAGCTGTGGCAGTTCTACAGGCTCATCATGCCAAGAAAGAAGCTGCCCAGAAGGTGGGCACTGTTGCTGCTGCTACCTCTTAGGCAAGGAAAAAAACGTACGTTTGACTATTTTTTGTTTTCTATAATAGTTTTGACTTGTGAATATCTTCCTAAAATATTAGGGACAATATGTAGAGCCAGTTAACTCGGGGATGCTGCCATTGGTTTTTTTTTTTTTTTTTTTTTTTTTTTTTTTTTTTTTTTTTTTTTTATCATCTGGATGAATTAACATGAAGAGTACAGGTTATAAATTACAAGGAGCAAACAACAGTTTTCTAAAAAAGAGCACCTCGTTGGAAGTTCTATATGGCTTATTATCCTTTCCTAATGGTTATAAGCAGATTTTCTTAAGAATCACATTTTGGTTTGGAATAATGATGACTACAGGTAGTCCTAATCAGATCTCACTGACTTATTTCTATGACCATCTCTCTGGTTTGTGATTGGTGAGGGTCAGCTGTGTATATAGCTGCTGCTTATCTCTGGGAACACAGTAGGCACAGGCCTTGGTGTCAAAATGGAAGAGACAGACACACACCTGACTAATTACAGCATGTGTTCCAGTCATCCTCTGGACTTGGGGGCCATGGTCCCTGTCTGCAGGGGATGGTGAGTGAAGCTTAACTAGGACCTCTGCCAAAGGCTGATAAAGGAGAGAACTAAATGAGCAGAGGCACCATCAAGGAAAGTGCAGGTGGTAAGGGCTAAAGCTGGTATGACGTTTGGGGTTGACTCATCATAGCCATGGCTCCTTGGCTTGTCATTTGGAATTTAAGCAAGAGAACCAAAAAACTGTACAAATTTTTAGTACAGGATTGCTTAGAAGGAGTGGGTGTGTAAGAGTTTACAGACTATTTATCCTCAAAGTCCGTGGTTCTAACCTAGGTGTGCCCCTTCAGAGGACACTTGCCGATGTCAGGAGACATTTCTGGTTCTCCTAACTGGGAATGTGTCACTGGCATATAGTGGGTATGGGCCAGGGATGCTGCTACACATTCTACACTGCACCAGATAGCCCCAGCAGAATTTAATCCAGGGCCAAAATGTGAGCACTGAGGTTGAGAAACCCTGCTCTGTAATACCTTTTATCAGCCTGAGATTTCAGTGAATCTCGGGTTCTTTTGATTATTTATGTTGGTGCCTTTCTTTTCAGGATTCAAAAGCCAAATAACCCCTCATGAAATTCAGCTCAAGGTTTGAAGACTTCCTAGCTTGTCCTATGGACCTCAACACTAAGAACCACAAATTGCAAATTTAATAGGTCATTTTGTATCAAAAGGTCAATTATGAAGCACCTAGAATTTTTCAATTAAAAAAAAAATATATTCTCTGGGTTCTGCTACAGCTCAGACAGTGTTAACTTTTTTTTTTTCCCCCCTGTTGTGGGTTTTGATCTTTCCCCCTCGCCCAGAAATTGGTTTTATTTGATGTATCCAAGTCTTTAAGTTTCACAATAAAGAAAAAACTCCATAAAACTGCCTATCTTGTGTTGTACTCGGATCAGTTTTATTCTACAAATCTCACTGGAAGTAAATTTAGGATGTAAATAGGGTCAAGTGAAGTTCTGTATAGCTTATTCTTTCCTGCAGTTATAAGCAGGCTATTTTGGGTTAGCTAGGTGTGCATAATTGTCCCATTTCTTTCTGTTTATGGGAGGACTTTATAATTGCTCCATTTAACTTAAGGGAACAGGCATCTGATCAAAGCTGGCCTTGGATCTGATATAGGGGTGGCATGTTTCTGAAGGACATGAGGTATGCAGAACTTGACCCCTCCCTCCATGACGTGCTGGAGGAATCCCATTTCTCTTCTACAAGTCAGCAGGTCCAGTTCCCTAAGTTATGCAACTTGGGGTTTCCCCTGGCAGTGGTAAAGGCTTGGTAAGAGGTCTGAGTGGCAACAGCAAACAGTTGCTCAAATCCTAAGTGTTTCGTGGTTCCTTTAGTCCTCAAAACAACCATAACTGGCCAAGGCTAAACGGTCTACGTGCCCTCCCTGTCCTCCATGAACCCTCCCTATTTTCTTGAGCGTGGCAGGCTCACCCATGTGATTCCATTCCTTGGAATGTTCCGTTTTGGTCAGCGCTCCCTTTTCCTTAAGGTCTGGTCGTGGGTAACGCGGCTATGTATTTGCGTTTTCAATTTGCGCCCCCCAACCCCCATCTGTGCAACGGCGGAACCTGATTGGTGCAGGCTTCTGCACTAGAGGGTTAGGGGTGGGGTCCGGGAGTGGACTTCCGGCGGAAGAACCAATGAGCAAGATGGCTGACGCCACGGCGTGCCTGCGTGGCGGTGACACAGGTCTGAACGTGACACCGGTCTTTTGAACCGAGGTTGTGATTGGCCCGTGGCAGCACGTGACGGCACGCAGCCGCACAAAGCGGCCGGCCCGGGCGTGCTCACGGTCTACGTGGCGCCGGCACGTAGCGGTCAGGGTCCAGTCTCATTGGTTTTACCCCGTCCCCGCCCCCCAGTTGGAATGGTGCGCACGATCTACGTAGCGGGCGACCCGGTCTCATGGGTTTTACCGGCGCGGTTTGAACCGGATCTACGCGGCACGTAGTGGCCGGAGCCCTGTCACTTGTGGGTTTTACCCGCGCTGTTTGGTGCTTGGTACTGGCGATCTTCTGATCTACGTGGCGGCACGTAGCGGGCAGGGCCCGGTCTCCGGGTTTTACCCGCGCATTTTGAAAGGTGCTCGCCATCTACGCGGCAGTACGTAGGGGCGGCACGTAGCGAGCAGGGCCCGGTCTCGGGGTTTTACCCGCGTAATTTGAAAGGTGCTCGTGATCTACATGTCGGCACACAGCGGTCAGGGCTCCGTTTCTGGGGTTTTACCCGCGAAGTTTGGTACTTGGTACTGGCGATCTACTGATTTACGCGGCGGCACGTAGCGGGCAGGGCTCGGTCTCCTGGGTTTTACCTGCGCGGTTTGAACCGGATCTACGCGGCACGTAGCGGCCAGAGCCCTGTCACTTGCCGCTTTACCCGCGCAGTTTGGGGCTTGGTAATGGGCGATCTTCTGATCGCCGCCGCGGCACGTAGGGGCGGCACGTAGCCGTCAGGGTTCGGTCTCATGGGTTTTACCCGCGCAGTTTGAAAGGTGCTTGCCGTCTATGCGGCATCGCGTAGCGGGCTCGGTCTCATGGGGTTTTACCCGCGCAGTTTGAAAGGTGCTTGCCGTCTATGCGGCATCGCGTAGCGGGCTCGGTCTCATGGGGTTTTATCCGCGCAGTTTGAAAGGTGCTTGCCGTCTATGCGGCATCGCGTAGCGGGCTCGGTCTCATGGGGTTTTATCCGCGCAGTTTGAAAGGTGCTTGCCGTCTATGCGGCATCGCGTAGCGGGCTCGGTCTCATGGGGTTTTATCCGCGCAGTTTGGTACTTGGTACTGATCGCCGCCGCGGCACGCACCGGCGGCACGTAGCGGTCGGGGTTCGGTCTCATGGAGTTTTACCCGCACAGTTTGAAAGGTGCTCGTCGGCACATAGTGGGCAGGGCTCGGTCTTGGGATTTTACCCGCGCAGTTTGAAAGGTGCTCGCAATCTACTTGGCAGAACATAGCGGCCAGGACCTGATGTCATGAGATTTTATCCCTGCAATTTGCTTTTTTAACTTTTTTTTTAATTTTTTAAATCCCTAAATTTTCTTGAACTCATAAATTTTGTGGTTTTTTTAAAAAAAATATTTTTATTGATTTTTTACAAAGAGGAAAGGAGAGGGATAGAAAGTTAGAAACATCCATCACCTGCCTCCTGCACATCCCCTAATGGGGATGTGCCCACAACCAAGGTACATGTCCTTGACTGGATTCAAACCCGGGACCCTTCAGTCTGCAAGCCAACACTCTATCCACTGAGACAAACCAGTTTTGGCTGCTTGTTTTTGTTTAATGATGTAAATTAATATGTGAAATATATATTCAACTATGTATTTGTTATACAAAAGTACATAACAAAATTTATAGGTAATTAATATTGTCTTATGTTTTTATATTACCACATTTATGTTTACATCTTATTTTTCAAAAATTTCTTTATTGATTAAGGTATCACATATTTCTCCTCAATCCCCCATTCCAATCCCCCACCCCTCCTTAATCATTCACCCAGCTCCGTATTGTCCTTCACCACTGGTTTGGCTCATGTATGCACACAAGTCCTTTGGTTGATCTCTCCCTTTTATCGCCACCCTCCCTCTGAGGTCCAACAGTCTGACCCATGGCTCCATATCTCTGGGTCTGTTCTTGTTCATCAGTCTGTGTTGTTCACCATTTTCCCTAGATGAGTGAGATCATGTCCTTCTGGAAATATACTTATAGGAATCGAAATTGAGAAGCAATAATGGTTATGCTGAAAGGCAAATGAATCAGTCTGTAGCAAGTTTCTTTCTGGGCCACCAGTTCCTTTGAGATCCAATTTCAATGTCAAACAGTTCCTAGATGTGCTGAGACCTGAGCTATGAGACCGAGCCTGCTAAGTGCCCTCTGATAGACTGCAAGCACCTTTCAAACTGGGCGGGTAAAGGTTTGAAGGTCAAGCGTTGAAGGTCAAGCGTGAGGCTCGCAGGCGGGAGCCAGGCGCTGGCCTGAATGGAGAACAGGAAGAGCAAACGCCCAGAGGGGTGAAGGAGGTCTAGCACGTGGAGGCAAATAGTTTGGACCGAATAAGTGGAGGAGGAGAGACTAGCGAGGTGGGCAGGGTTCAGGTTATGAAGGTCTTCTCTGTGAAGCTAAGGAATTTGGACCTGTCCTGTGGGCACTGGTGAACGTTAGGACACTATTGAGCAGGATAGTGCTGTAATCAGATTTGCACTTTCTTGGCATCATTCTATCACTGTGCAGAGGAAGGAGAAACGAGGTGTTGAGCCCATTTAGAAAGTGTCAGAGGGGCTAGATGTGGGGCTGAAGATGGGTGGGCAGAAGTCATTTTGTGTGTCCAAAAGACTGTAGGACTCCTCCTTTTCCAGCCTTTGACTGTCTTGCTAGCACATTGTTGCTGCCGCTGTACCCAGAGCCCAGGGGACATTGGATCAGAAGGGCTTGC